GCAAGGAAACCAGAAACCATCTGGTTGTACGGTTCCAAACTTTTAAAGGCCTTAAACTGTTTGTTTGTTTAGTAGCTTGTCTCTAAAACTAAATAGGAAAGCAAGTCCGAGACTTCTATAGGAGGCAAACATTCCGAGGTGAACTGCTCGCTCGGAATGGTCGCTGGATCTACGCCAACCACAGAAATTTTCTTTAAATGGCGCTCTCGGAAGTGGCTTTCGAGGTTATCTACGTAGGATGAAAATACTGGTACCTCATCGTGGGATTTTGGGTCGGTTCTTCGGAAATATCCAAAAGTAAGATGAATTATTTGAAGACTTTGAACGCGAGCGCTTAGAAATGGCATAGATTTCCCTACAATTTCACACCTCGCATGGGCACCAACATGGCGGAAATCTAATTTGCATAAGCTAATGACGTCAGCTGAAAACCAAGAATACGTAACTATGGAAAAACTGTGAATTGAAATTTTTGTAAATCGCAAAATACTGCGACCGATTATATCTGTCGTCGTTACAACTTCTATCAAGCAGCTGTTAGATGAAGTAGGTAAAAACTAAGGAATTTTAATTTTGATTGGGAAGGGAGGAGGGGATGGGAGTGGGCTTGGCGATATGACATTTTGGAAGCGAGTTTCAAAACAAGCGTGAACGCCTTTAACACCTAAAGAGCACGTGAGTTGCATTAAGCCAACATGGAAACTGAACTGGAGGGCTCAAAAATGTTGACTGGAACATATTTTTTTTTAAATGACAGCTACGTCTGTGGTGTGTTGAGGAGAGCGCGAAATCGATTTTCTCAAATGTTTCCGAAATTCTGCGGTACTTTGAAATATAAGACCCGAAACCTTTGAAAACTCGTGAATAGCTACCTAAAAGTTGAAAATTAAAGTAGATTTCATTTTTGACCGTGGCCGCGATTTGCATCAATATTTTTGTGCATTTCCATTACATTCGCCTTTCAAAACTATTCATGCTTCGCTATTTAAATCCAAAAGTTTTTTTTTACCCCTGAAATATCAATAAAGGGAGTTCAGGTAGCTAGTTCCAAAAAATTAATGATTTAGACACAGGAAATTATTTTTAGTTTGTTGCATGTTGTGATTTTTTTTTTTTTATTAGCTGGGCGAGATGACACTGTATCTGACGGGGTAGGGAACGGCAGTGATCCGGAACCAAAAGGAGATGATCTCTCTTACGTAGGCGCTCGAAAAGGTACAGATACATTTAAACTTAATGAACTGGCTCACCTTCCGTATTGCCCTATGACGAAGAATTTTTTCCAACCAGATTTTAAGTTTTTACCCAAAATTATTTCCGGTGGAAACCGTTCAACCTTGCGATTTGAGTTTTTAACCCAGCCTCAAATCAGGAAAAAAAAAAAAAAAAGAATCACGTGGGCTATAGCATCATGCTAAGTAAGTTCTATCATGATTCTTCAAACTCAACAGCTGCAGCTGACGAACGTGTTGAGACATTTCGGTCTGAAGGCGATCAGTCATCGCTGTACAGTGCAAATGCTGAAAGTACTTCAACAGGCCCAAGTGGTGGTAATGGGGATGGCCCTGCAGCTGAACATGTCGTTGCTGTCGGGAGTGATGATTCACCAACTGTTACATATAATAGTGAGACCCTGAAACGGGAAGGAAATACTTTAGGAAAATGCACATTAAGTGAACTTGTTCTTAAACCTCAAGTGTCATTGTTGCTCTCTGAACGATTAGATATATGCTTCGGGCTGTTTAACTGATCTTTGGATAATAGGTTAGAGCAATTTTTAATTAAGTGTCGAAAACAATCTGGGATTGCTTCGATTTTGCTTATCTTCGCTTTCAGTGGTTGGTCCAGAAAACTCGCGCCATTCTCCCAACAAAAACGGGTTTTCTCGCGTTTTGGGTGGTTTTCTTCTTTTCTCCTTGAGCTTTCTTTGCTGTTTGCAATATTTTTCTTTAATTAATTGGCTGTTGTTATCACTGCGGTTTTGGTGTTCAGGCGCTAAATCAAAGTGCGGTTGTTTGCTGCCATGTCTAAATCTCCTTTGCATTTTGAATTCCAGCCACCTCTTCGGAATCAGTGGGACCCTCCTCTGATCGACTTCAGCATGATTCAGCCGAACCTGCAGTTACTCGATACGTGAACTTTCTGGTTTACATGGGCTACTCAGTGGAAATCTTGGGAGGAAAACACTATAAGACCCCTGATGGAGAATTTGTGGAAATGAAAAGTGGGACGCAGTATAAAATACACGTCAAAAATTCCCATGATTATGGTAAAAGTCATACATATTACTGTTTAAAAAACGCTTTTAAACTTTATCACCATGTTAGATTGTGGAGAAAACATAGTCTGACTTCGGTGGACAACCTGTCATTTACTTTTGTTACATTCCTGTCAACATAAACTTCAACCGCAATCTGATCAGCGGACCTGCTGCAGTCTACCTCCATAGAATCAAAACCTGGATATCTCTTTAAATTCGTTAGTGTACGAGGAAGATGTCACTGTCGTTGAAAACTGGTCATTTGTTTGGAGTTCAGATACAAAATTAAGGTGAAAGGAAGTTCTAGGTGTCTGCCAATTACTCAATTTCTCTTTTACTGTTCGTTTTTTTTTAGCCCCTTTCGTTTCAATTTGTTGGTACTCTATGATGAAGATCTCGATTATATATATGTGTCATCGTCGCTAGCATTGTGCATAGCTCACAAGGCTCTTCTAGTTTGAGCACTCTGGCATGGCTTAGACGATACCACAAGTCTGGGATCGTTTGGGGACCCATATGGGTTCTCCCCCATCCTAGCATCAGCACTGCACTGATGAGGCCCAGAAGGCCAAAACAGTACTGTCTGCAGTTAGATATAGCTCTTTGGCATACAAAGCTCTGCGTTGATGTCCAAATTGAGCACTGTGGGATGAGTCATCACCGCTAGCATTGTGCATAGCTCACTAGGCTCTTCTAGTTTGAGCACTATGGCATGGCTTAGACGATACCACAAGTGTGGGATCGTTTGGGGATCCATATCTCGATTGCTAATATATATATATATATTGATATAAGGTTAGAGCCTACCTTGGCATAAAGTACTCAATGCTGCGTTAGCAGAGCTGGGTATACATTAGTTGAAGAATCAAAGAGGACGCATCGATTCTCTGTTACTCTGAGTTTCGCGCCGAAGCGCTGGTCAGAGAGAATTTTATTCAATAAAGAACATACCTCCTTATATATAGCAGTTAATTAATTCTCTGGTGCGATGAAATAAATAAATAAATATTCTCTGGGGGCTATTGTTAGCGGCTTGTGAAATGTGTGAAATTTGATAAGTAAAATTTATTTTTATCATTATCATTTTTTATCATTATCATTTTTATCATTATCATTTTTATCATTATCATTTTTATCATTATCATTTTTATCATTATCATTTTTATCATTATCATTTTTATCATTATCATTTTTATCATTATCATTTTTATCATTATCATTTTTATCATTATCATTTTTATCATTATCATTTTTATCATTATCATTTTTATCATTATCATTTTTATCATTATCATTTTTATCATTATCATTTTTATCATTATCATTTTTATCATTATCATNTTTAGCCCCTTTCGTTTCAATTTGTTGGTACTCTATGATGAAGATCTCGATTATATATATGTGTCATCGTCGCTAGCATTGTGCATAGCTCACAAGGCTCTTCTAGTTTGAGCACTCTGGCATGGCTTAGACGATACCACAAGTCTGGGATCGTTTGGGGACCCATATGGGTTCTCCCCCATCCTAGCATCAGCACTGCACTGATGAGGCCCAGAAGGCCAAAACAGTACTGTCTGCAGTTAGATATAGCTCTTTGGCATACAAAGCTCTGCGTTGATGTCCAAATTGAGCACTGTGGGATGAGTCATCACCGCTAGCATTGTGCATAGCTCACTAGGCTCTTCTAGTTTGAGCACTATGGCATGGCTTAGACGATACCACAAGTGTGGGATCGTTTGGGGATCCATATCTCGATTGCTAATATATATATATATATTGATATAAGGTTAGAGCCTACCTTGGCATAAAGTACTCAATGCTGCGTTAGCAGAGCTGGGTATACATTAGTTGAAGAATCAAAGAGGACGCATCGATTCTCTGTTACTCTGAGTTTCGCGCCGAAGCGCTGGTCAGAGAGAATTTTATTCAATAAAGAACATACCTCCTTATATATAGCAGTTAATTAATTCTCTGGTGCGATGAAATAAATAAATAAATATTCTCTGGGGGCTATTGTTAGCGGCTTGTGAAATGTGTGAAATTTGATAAGTAAAATTTATTTTTATCATTATCATTTTTTATCATTATCATTTTTATCATTATCATTTTTGTCATTATCATTTTTGTCATTATCATTTTTATCATTATCATTTTTATCATTATCATTTTTATCATTATCATTTTTATCATTATCATTTTTATCTGTAGAAGAAGTGACTTGGAATAACATTTGACGATAAAAACTTGCGACAAAACGTTGTTTGATAACATTGTAAAATTTAAAAACGAGAAAAAGCTATAGAAAGCTAAAATCGACGACGTTTTGACGTTAACATAACGTCATTATCAAGTCAAGAATGTATAAAAATAAGTTCTATAAATACTAAAAACGAACAATAAGAGAAAATAATTTGCGGGTTAAACAAAAAGTTTAGCCCGTATGGAGTCCGTTTACACGTTCAGATTAGGTTTGAATTTCTTAATATAAAGCATTTCAAACACTAAACAATCAAATTTACTTTTAATGATAAACTTTAACTGGTCCAACTGTATATTTAATAACGTTTCAGCTGTTTAGCCCTCTTTAGATAGAATTTCAAAACTAAAAACTAAAAGCTATATAAAATCTAATTGTAACTGGCGGCTCGTCCCTTTTTTTCCTAGGTTGTCATCTGGACATATCAATTGATGGTTATGACGTCGGTGCATGGGCTCTCCGCGGAAGAGAAGAGATGTCAATCGAAAGATCAGCGTATGAGGCCAAGAAGTTTACCTTCTACCGTGTGAAAAATGCACCAAAAGAGGCAGGAATTGAATCTGGCCGGCCCGAAAATGGAGTTGTGAAGTGTGTGTTCACGCCTGAAGCTTTCCTTAACATTCCAGTGATCACCTCTGATTCGTCTCAGCCATTGAAAGTGAGCATGCCTCCATCGGCGACAGTTGGTAAACTGAAACATGAACTGCAGCACCAGATGGGAGTTATGCATGACCAACATCAAGTTCTTGCGAAAGGCGACAAGGTCCTACGAAATGGTACCCGACTACGGTAAGAAAATTGAAAGCTTACGATGATCCTTTGGAGGGAAGATTAGTTGCGAATGAAATCTCATCAATTTTTTCTTCGCATTAGAGGCATACTTGAGACGCCTGGGGATTTGAGACTTATAGATGCAGAAGTAGCAATTACAGTAACAGCCGAGCCATCTTCCAGTTTGCCTTTTACAATAAGGGTGCATCCTGGCAAGGCAACGGTCCACAATCTCATGGAACGGATAGAGGTGCTGCTTGAAATCCCCATCAGGGACCAAAAGCTTTACCATGAGGGAAACCTCCTGTCAAAAGCACCAAGTAGATGCCTTCCTGATAAACTTATTTGCAGTCCACGTCCCGCTGTGAGCGTCATTTTCCCCGAGTACATTTACATAACTGTAGAAGATCAGAGTGGCGACTTAATCCCCTTGAAAACAAACGTAGAAAATAACTTAAGGGCGGTCATGGAGCAAATTCCTTCGTGTGGTAACCTGCAGGAAAACGAAGAGGCTGCGTTTGTTTTCAACGGGAAGCAACTCTGCCCTTCTAAAGACAAAGGAACCATAGCAAGCCTTGGTATTTGCTCAGGATCGAAGCTTGGGTTGACAGTAAGGATTCTTCACATCGAAGTCAAAGTTTGCCTCTCAGATAACTCTCGATCATTCCGTTTGAAATGTGATCCCCAAGAGACATTCCAGGATTTGGTGGAAAAGATCTTACTGAAAGGGCACAACAGCAGTAAATGCAGGCTTACATTCACAATGGGTGGAAGAAAGTTTGATCCGGGTCAAGACAAGGGTCCGTTAGAGGGTACAGATTTTATTCCTCAAAGACAATCTATTAGTACATTTAGTAACAGTGTTATTAAATTGCTGCTGCGTAGGGTAAAAGAAAGTTACTATTTCGGTAACTTCATCCCTATATGATAATATGTTGCGTCAACTTTCTCTGATATAGATTACGGAGTTACGCACGGCTGTACGCTTTGGGTGACAAGACAACCCACTACGGCCCCGGATCACAGCACTAGCGATAAGGATCTCCTCTTGTAAGTGTTTACAATATGGCTGTGTGCACAGAAATACATACTGATATCTCGTGTAAACTTTTTAGCAGTCATAAGCAAGAACAACTACATGAATTTAAGAACGCGAGGTGATTTCTTTTGCGAGTACTCAGATTCTTTTTACACAGGAGTGGCTTTGAGAACAGGAGTAAAGGCATCCAAATTGTAACTGGTGTTCATTAACCTTGTCGCGGTCGAGCAGGCTTCTTTCATCTCAGTTTAGTTTGTTATGGTGGTGAAAAAGGGCACAAAATGACGATTTCGGCCATGAAAGGGTTTCTTTTCAAAAGTGGAAAAGCTTAACAACTTAATTCTCAGCGTTGTAAGCCAAAATAGTCAACTTGTTATAAAACAGACTTGCTTAGGTTTAGAGCGCGTGCGCGAATTTATATCCGAGTTTACTTTAATAGACAGGATACATTGTAGTAATGTTTGAAATGTCTATTTTTCTATCACCAGGTTGCAAGGTAAGCAGATAACCGAAACGAGTTGGGATAGAAGGTGAAACAAATGGAAAGAGACACTTAAGGTGCAATCCTTAATCGTTTGCTATCCGTTTGGCAGATCTTGAGAATTAGCAATTGAAGACGTCAACAATCGTATACGCTATATCTAGAGATAACTCACGATGCTTTGACCACACAACTGACACCTAAAAGGAACTCACAAAATCCCATTACCTCGCTGGCAAAGGAGACTTTGCCCTTGCTTTGGTTTGTGGAGACTTTAATCCGGCCTCAATAGCGAGTAAAAACCGCTTTATCTACAATGGCTCCATCAACAACTATTTTGCTAAACTATAGCTAGTGCCAGACAATCACTTGTGGCAACTGGTTGATTGAACAACACCAACTATGAGTCCTAAGATATTGGACTCGGCCTTTATCGAAAACAGCATTTACGCCTCCTTGTCAAGCTGGGTGACTTGTTTTTGTCGGCTGTTTCTAACCACGTGCCCAGGAGTCGAGTCAAAAAAGTAGAATAATCTTAAAAAAAAAAGCTTGCGTACTAGTCAAGTCAATCGTCCAATTAAAGAGGCGCACAGTTGAGTTCCCAAAATCTAATTTCTAGTAAACTATAACTCTTACAATGTACAGCTCAAAGCAATACTTCCTGTGGAGATGGAGAGTAATTTTCGGTTTTTTTTTTTAATTTAGGTATTTTTGTCAAAATTATTCCGTAGTTTGCATGACGCGGTGTTTTGTCGGGATTAAGAGACTAGTCATACTTCTCCCAAAAAAGCTAAAGTTGAGGGTGTTTCTCAGACTCAGACCCCTTTATCTCGATTTGCCATCACGATGAGGATCATCTGGGGAGTTTAGAATCGGAGAGGAGGGAAGAGCGCAGTTGTAAATTGGGACTTTTTCCTGTTACTGCCCGGTCGGTCTTTTCCTTATTTACTTATTTAACTTTTTTATTGATGTATGTTATGAAAAGATGCGTTTATAGCTCAAAGCAATACTTCCTGTAGAGATGGTAAGTACCAGTAACCTTCCTTTTTTCTCAATTTAGGTTCTTTTTTTAAAAATATTTCGTAGTTTGCATGACGTGGTGTTTTGTCTGGTTTAAGAGACTCGTCAGACTCCTGCCAAAAAAGCTAAAGTACGTTAAGGGTGTTTCTCAGACGCCTTTATCCTGAATAGCCATTACGATGAGGATCATCTGGGGGAGTTTAAGATCGAAGAGGGGGGAAGAAGCGCATTTGTTAATTGGGACTTCTTTCTGTTACTGCCTCGGTCGGTCTTTTTCTTCTTATTACTTATTTAATTTTTTTATTCGTGTATGTTATAACAAGAGGTGTTTATAGCTCACTGCGATACTTCCTGTGGAGATGGTGAGTACCAGTAATTTTCCTTTTTTCCTAATTTAGGGTTTTTTGTCAAAAATATCTCGTAGTTTGCATGACGTGGTGTTTTGTCTGGTGTAAAGGACTCGTCAGACTCCTCCCAAAAGAGCTAAAGTAAGTTAAGGGTGTTTCCCAGACCCCTTTATCCCGATTTGCCATTCTAATGAGGATCATCTGGGGGAGCTTAGGATCGGAGAGGGGGGCAGGGCGCAGTTGTCGCTTGGGACTTTTTCCTGTTACTGCCCTGGGCGGTCTTTTCCTTCTTAGTTACTTATTTAATTTTTTTTTATTGATGTGTGTTACAATAGGATGCATTGCATTGCAACATGTGCATCCTTTTGAGACGCGCTCCAACTACTTAAGAGAGGCCGCCAGAATATTTCGAGAATCGAAAATCAGTGACGAAAAATCGAATTTTTTTTTATTTTGCCAAAACATCCCTTTCTGTGAACTAGTTTCGAAAAAAATATTTTAAAGTTCCAGCGATTTTCTTTCCGGCTGAAATTTAAAAAGTTTGAAAATTCGTTAAAAAAGCCGTTTTCGCCTTGCCTAAACGGTCAAATCGTCACGCAACTTTAGAAAAATGTTGGCAGCGCCAAACAAGTCCATTCACCATCAAACTTTGCACAGTAACTATAATATCACTGCACAGTAAAAGCATATAAAAAGTTTCTTGTAATTCTCTTTGGTATGGGTTTTATCGCCGTTTTTATAAAGGTGTATTTTGCACGCCTTTTTAGGAGACAAAATGAAGGCTAAGTTTTACCGGTTTAAACGACACCTGGTACCTAAAATTTCGACATTAAAACNAAGAATGGCCTCAAATTCTTTTATTTCTGCTTTAATAATCTTGGATGAAAGAACAATATAAAAGTCCGTCGAGGAAACTATCATCACATTTTTTAAAGAACTTTCCGAGAATTATTTGTGTGAAAATCTATCGTCGCGTAAATGGCCTTCTTGAATGGCAAGGATTCATCCATGTAATCCAGTCGCGCGTGCAGTCAAAGAAGTCCTGAAGTGGTGGCTATCATGCAGGATGTTCTGAACACCCTAAAGCTGCAACACGGGGAAGTAACGAAGGCATATTTCAGGCAGGAAAAGGCCGTTTGCTATCATTCATCATGTACGATCCTAGCGTGTCCAGCCATTGCAGAATCTAGCTACTGGTGTCCAGGTTATAGGAATTGACTTTATTGACCCACAGAGAGGTAAAGGTGCCACAGACAGATTTGCGGCAAAATGTAAAGGCTACGTTAGGGTCTGCATAAACGAAGGCAACGACGTGTGCAAGGAAGTCAATTCCAAGAAGCTCTTCTTTCCCACGAAGGCATCGAAGGAGTGAGAGTAGTTGCAATTGACAGCATGGAGGATTTCGTCATTGATGATGCAAGAAAGATTCTCGGTATCAGCAAGCTCAACAATTTTAAGTTCAACCCCGAGAGCATTACAGCTTGGCGTGCCTATTAAATCGGGAGTGGGAAAGATATCAGGTTAGAGAAGCAATCTTCCGGTAAGTGCTAGTGAGCTACATGCAGTGTTGACAAGTAGCATATTTTTGATATGTTGCAATGCCCTTTGCCCCCTGTCCGCGCACAAGTCCAACGTCCATACTCGACCACACCCGTGTCCGTGGGTATGTCCACCCGACCGTCTGACCGTGCACATCCATCGATTCTTCTTTCTCTTGTCGAGCATGTGTTTGTTAATTTATCGATTCCTTCTTGCTTACCGCCTCTCCTTTTTCCCGTGGGTCAGATCCGTTAGCCAGTCTTACTTTAGTAAATTTACAATTACCATAGCAATATTTTTTTTACATGCATGGTCTATGTTGTACCGAATTTTCTTTGCAAAATCGCATAAAAATTACCACAATTTTACAACGTCTTCTTTACGGAATCTTTTGATGACCGTAACATCCTTCTGTTTTCAGAGTGTAGTTATCGCTGGATGGGGTCAACATTTTCCGCAGGTGGTTTTAAATCACTCAGCAAAAAACACCCCACGCAGACAGAGTCGAAGACTACAGAGAAACCTGAAGTATCTAAGACGCATGGAGAGATTGCTGGTGATGAAACAGCAGCATTTTCCTGCCCCCAAGACGGGTGCGTGATTCACAAAGTCTTTAGAGAAGAGATCTATGCTAGACTTGGCCAAGATCGCATATAAATCTGCGTTGGAAGAAGGTGTGGGAACTATACCAACTCTGCAACCAGTTCCAGGAAGTGAACGTCGAACTGATTGCTGTAATAAGGAAGGATGGGCTCTTAAGTCAACCAAGCAGGCGTACAGGCTAAGTGAGAAGCAGAGGGCATACCTTGATGCGAAATTCAATATTGGCCAAACGTCAGGTAGAAAATTAGACGAGGAAGTAGTTGCAAGAGAGATGAGACGTGCCCAAGTACCTTACGGTTCTCGAATTTTCAACGTTGAGCCCACCGCAGATCTCCTCCTACTTCTCCCGCCTTGCTGCTAAGGTTCGGAAACAACTACCGGATGATTGCGATGTTCAGGCCATCGAAGAGGAAACAAACTTCACGATGGCAAGGAATTTGGCCCTAGAAACCATCTCTCTTCAGCACCCAATATTGTTCGATCATGTGAAAGTGTAGTGCGATCGTCCGGGTGAGTGTAAAGTTAGGTCGTTCTGTTCGGTTCGTTTGTAACGTTTATGTGCTTCTTTTAAAACTCAACTCCTATGGTTGTTCTCCATCCTCTGTTGAGTGGTTCACCTCGTACCTGTCAAATCGCTCACAACGTACAACCTTCAAGGGAGTCCTATCTGAGTCTTGTCCTATGTCTCTTGGTGTCTCGCAAGGTAGCATCTTGGGTCCTTTGTTCTTTTTGCACTTCATAAATGATCTACCTCTCTATGTGTCTTCGGATGTTGATCTTACCATGTTCGTNACCTTAATGCCAAATTCAATATTGGCCAAACGTCAGGTAGAAAATTAGACGGGGAAGTAGTTGCAAGAGAGATGAGACGTGCCCAAGTACCTGACGGTGCTCGAATTTTCAACGTTGAGCCCACCGCAGATCTCCTCCTACTTCTCCCGCCTTGCTGCTAAGGTTCGGAAACAACCATGACCGGATGATTGCGATGTTCAGGCCAGCGAAGAGGAAACAAACTTCACGATGGCAAGGAATTTGGCCCTAGAAACTATATCTCTTCAGCACCCAATATTGCTCGATCATGTGAAAGTGTAGTGTGATCGTCCGGGTGAGTGTAAAGTTAGGTCGTTCTGTTCGGTTCGTTTGTAATGTTTATGTTGTGAATAAGTCGTTTGTATGGAGCCGGTAGAAGTTGACACCTGTTTAGGGGAGTCTGTTCTAAGTTAGTAAACCAGCCGTTGAAAGTGGTCAATGCTGTAGGTTAGGCATTGCGCAGAGGAACTCTGCGCAATGCTTAACCTACAGAACGACCTAACTTTACCGACGGATCGAAACAGACCAATCACGACCGACTTACGCCACTTGAGTCTTACAGTCAATAACATCACGGAAAAACTGACCAATCATTTTACACGAACTGAAATAAGAACATTCTACTGACAAAAACTATTCACTTGACTCTGATGACTTCCGCACCGGTTGTCGAAACGTCAGTCACTACCACCGACAACAGTCCTTCTCAATCAGGACTACACTCACCCGGACGATCACACTACACTTTCGCATGTTACCCCCGGGTTCAAGCCATTTACTGCATTGTTCGATCAGTTCGATATTTGTACCATAATGAAAAACGACACGTCGAAGAAGCTAAAGCTTGGCACGCTGAAGAGTATTTGCCAGAACTTGGAGCTGAACGTTTCTGTACCTGCCATTCGACGAAAAGCACCATACTTTACCTTGCTTGGTGAAGCTGTTTCCCAGTGCACATGCCAGATCCGCCAGTATCCCATATTAATTCTGATCGGTTACCTCGTTTGCTTGTTGTTAATACCTAGGGCTGTAGTGGCTGAACAGACCGCCTAATCGATGATATTTTATTTAGATAAGTAAATTTTAATCAGCAATTTTGGCATTTTAGGTGGTTTAGGAGTTTCTGTTTTGGCTATTTCAAATTAATTAGGACAAGAGGGTAATTGAACAAAAAAAAAAACACAAAATATACGTATGAGATTAGATTTAAAAAGACATGCAGCCAATGGAGTAAATGGATAACTTAATGTAACTCTAAAAAAAAAGCGAGCAATGGACAAAAAAAACACAATCGCGTGATTTTAGAATTTCCCCGTAAATGTTCTCGATGGTCCTTTTATTATTTAGTTCTCAGTAGACGTGTTTGAGATCCGAAGTTTTCAAGCTTTTTTAAATTTCAGCCGGAAAAAAAATCGCTGGAACTTTAAAATATTTTTTTAGAAACTAGTACACAGAAAGGGATGTTTTGGCAAAATGAAAAACTCACTGTTTTTCGAATCTCGAAATATTCTGGCGGCTTCTCTTAAATATTCGTAGTAAGTTAACATGTATATTTGCTCGGAGTAAACGTTTAGATATCTTATCCTGTTGTCACTCGTGTTATTACAATGGATTTGTACATTTTTGTGACAGTAAAGTAAATTTAATTGTAATGCCAAAGTTTTCCAAACTTAGATTAAAAGGGAATTTTATTCATTTAACCACACTCGATCAGCTTTCCTTCTTCCAATTTCCTTTTCAACAAAGAAAGTCAAAGTGCCAATCGACAACTGCCCCGCCCCGCTTCCCGTGATCTTAAACCACCCCTTATGATCCTCATCATAAAATGGCGAGTTGGAAAAAAGTGTGTGAAACATCCTTAATCCAAAGTTTTCCATACTTCAAACTTCGATTAAAAGGAAAATTTTATTCATGAAACTTCTTGATCAGCTTTACTTCCCATTTTTTTACCTTGACAATTTTCGCTTTTGTTATGTAAATGGTCCATTAATTAACAGAAACTTACACTAGTGCTCTAAGTGCTCACTTCACTTTTACGCCATGCCCACAGCCTTTTACTTGTTCAAATAGAGTAATCTTTTAAAAAAATAGCTTGCGTACTTGTCAAGTCAATCGTCCAGTTAAAGAGACGCGTAGTTGAGTTCTTAATATCTAATTTATCTGGCGTAAACTTTTACCCTTCTAAGTTAAAGAGACTGGAGCCAAATTTTTCCTTGATGATGGTGAGTAATTTTCCCTTTTTTCGCAATTCACGTTTTTTTCCTTACAAAAATTCGTCTATGGCAGGACGCAGCGTTTTGTCTGGTTTAAGAGGCTCGTCAAACTTAAAAAGTTAACGTTAAGGGTGCTTCTCAGGCCCCTTTTTTTCTTCGGTTTGCTATATATTATGATGAGGATAATGCGGTTTCCACTCTTATTCCCTAAAATCATACAGTACAAATAACCAGAAACCTAATTACCTACCGAACTTCACTTTGCAAAAGACAAGATTATTCTTAATTCTTGATCAGCTTTCCTTCCCAATTTTTGGACACTGAAAACTCTCGCTTTTGTTACGTAAATGTCCCATTAATATAAAATTACACTAGTTCTGTGAGTGCTCATGTCACTTTAACACCCTCATCACAGCCTTTTACATGTTCAAATAGAATAATCTTTAAAAAAGTAGCTTGCGTATTTGTCAAGTCAATCGGCCAGTTAAAGAGACGCGCAGTTAAATTCTAAATGTCTAATTTATTGTAAACTTTTTTTCTAACTTGAAATATAAAGGTTTTAGAGGCAAAGTTCTCCATGGAAATGGTGAGTAATTTCCTGTTTCCTTAACTTAGGCTTTTTTTCTTTTTCTTAAAAATATTCGTAGTTTGCCTGACGCAGCGTTTTGTCTGAATTAAGAGACTCGTCAAAAAGCTAAACTTAAGGATGCTTCTCAGACCCCTTCTTTTTCTCCAGTTCGCCACTGGGATGAGGATCATGTGGGGGAGTTTAAGATCGAAAGGGTGGGGGGCAGTTGTCGATTATGACTTTGTCTACACAAACTTATCATTATTATTTCTTATTTATTTTTTAGATTTGCACATTTTTGTTTGAAGTTTTGTTCATTAACTACTCGATCAGCTTTCCTTCTTCCCATTTTTTCACATTGACAGCTCTCGCTTATTTGACGTAAATAGTCCATTAACAGGATATTGAACTAGTTCTCTGAGTGCTTTACACCGTACTACAGCCTTTTACTTGTTGAATAATCGCGTACTTGTTAAGTCAATCGTTTAGTTAAAGAGACGCAAAATTGAGTTGTAAATATCTAATTTCTAATAAGTTATTACCCTTATAATTTACAGCTGCTCGACGCAGAAAAAGTAAAAAAAGTAAGAAATTTCCTTTTTCTTTTAATCCAAGGTGATTCCTAGGAAAAAAAAGTTAACGAACAATTTATCGAAAAATACAATCAAAACAATAGATAACTGTGCCAAATTTACGCAATTAACGCCTATACTACCGGCACAAATCTCACGCGTTATTTCATCAGTTCAAGGTACATTTTGCTGAAGCTGGAAGAAAGGGTTTTTATAGATAGAAAGTCTCGAGCGTATCGGGGACAATTTGATTTATAATTTGTATAAAAACCAACCAATTTTAAACGACATCAATTCAAGAGTGCGAAACGAGTACATGCTAAACGAACAACGCTTTATTTTGTTGTTATAAATGAACTACGCCTTCCACTGTTGTTCGATACGAACAACGCTTTTAGAATCATTACCTAAACATATTTCAGTTCTGATCATATGATCGATGGTGTTGTTAGAAACAACCAAGATTAAGTTCCTCAAGCTTACGAAATGTCCGTGAGTGCGAAACGAGTACCTACCAAACGAACAAAGCTTGTTAGAAACAAACAAACACGCTTTTTGAATCGTCATGGTGTTGTCAGAAGCAAAGAGTGCCTCAGCGATAAAGATTTCTCTACGTTTTTGCCTACTTATAGTCTGGAAGTCTGATTTTTTGAGTATTTGTTTCTTCGGGCGACTTTACTGTATTTTTTTCGGGTGATAGGACTCAAATTTCGGGCAACATAACTTGTAGGACTCGGTTGACATGACTTCAGGCGAGATGACTCTCGGGCGACTTGACCGTAAACCAATCAGAAAACTCCGATTTACATCAGGACTGCTTTGCCATATCCATGTAATAAAAATGCATGTATGCCTTGGTATATCTGCCAACCATACCCTTTCCCCATTTCTTGTTCCAGAAGAGGCTAGTTATGGCGTCGATGTCATAGAACGGGATCCCGCATGGAGGTCAGGTGGAACAACTTTACAATGCCATAGCACACAACAGTTTATCACGGCTGAACCAATCAAAGTGGATCATTCAAAGAAGGTTGAACTGGTACTCAGGCTTGTAGCCAGGTAATATTTCACATGGTAATTTTAAAAGAGGGCGGGTCAGCAATTTGTTTCAGAACAGACTATTAGCTGTTGTTTTGAAAATGAGCCCGTGTTTTATCTACAGGGCAGGACTTAGAGGGTAGTGCTATTTGACGTAAATATCTCCCGGTATTCGAAGGATTTTCAAGCAAGAGCTTTTCCTAAGATAGCCCCGAGCTCTCACGAACTAGGTACAAAACGTTTCAGGGGGAATTTTTTCACAGTCATTCTCGACGAAGGAAAACCGGTGAAAGCAGGTTTCTCCAACATTATCAGTGAGTTGTAGCTTTGACTTCTTTGATGTAATAATTTTTCTAATCTTTCTCTTTTTAAGAGATGGAGAAGAAGATCTAGTATTCCCCAAAGGTGAATGTAAACCGCTGTCAACTCTGACTCCACCAGCTGTCCAAGAGTAGAGCAGACAATAAATCGATGTAAATGAAGTCGGTTCAAAAAGTATATTCTAATCGCTTTTGGGTTTGTCCAGTTAACAGATCACACCAGATTGTGTTAAGAAATTACATAACCTGAATACAGGCATTTTGATTGTTTTTTCGTATTACCTATTGGAGGACAGATGCATAGAAGACGTTATCACCAACAAGTTTTTGCTTCTTTATTAATGAAACGTAGATTCCAAGTTGCCGTAAGTCTGTTCAGTAACAGATCAAAGAAGACGTAAAATGTGGCAATGCCCATGCAGCTAGACCAATTTATTTCAGCGAAAGTTTGCAGTATTTTGTTAACTAGGGAGTAAAACTACCAGAATAAAAGAATCTGTTTAGAAAAGGGGATTTGTAGTTTTCATGTACATTATAGTAATAATTCCGGAAGCACCTTTTCTCTCAAACAAAAATCTTTATTTCATCTTAAAAGCAAGATTAGACTTTGGCCTCTTTTGCGCAACTTCTTCAGTTCAGCTTTAAGAACTCTGTTTTTCTATAAAGCAAAACAAACGCTTTCATTAAACACTACTTTAAAATCATGCTTATTGTATTTCCTTGAACAACTTAGCAACCACGTTCTAAAAAGTGCTCTCCCCTGAATAAACACCAACCCCTTTGGCCATATTATCAAACAAGCACCCACCTCGAATATAGGGATACAAAGAAAACCTTTCTATTGCCAGTTCACTTACAACTCTTTAAGCTTCAACTACAGTAGAATCAGCACAAGTTGATTATTTCTTTATAAGACCCCTCCTTCTAGAACCCAAGCCCTTAATCAAGGAAACACTTTGTGAGCATTTGCAACAGCCTTAACAAGCCCAATACCATAAGGAGGGTAGCCATGTCAGTTTAAAATCGACGTTGAGCCCTCACATGGATAAATCTCATAAAACTATCAAAATCTCTTTCGTGAACAGGGGGTCCATACATATAGAGAGGGTTGGAAGAAAAGTTTCTAAGGTTGGAAATTTCTACAACCCTGAAGGCATATGTAACATGCAACTTGGTTATTTTCAGTTATCTAAACTGGAGCTGCATGCAAATCTCTAAGTTTGAGAAGTTTCCCACTCAGAAATAAAATTAGCCATAAATCTGGCCACATATGAATAAAAAACTAACAATCACTAACAATCAAGAAAGTTGTTTCTATTTTATGGAGCCACAAATGTTTTCAAAATAAGAAAATTTGTCTCAAATGCGTTGCAAAGAAAACTCCTTGCCACAGATGAGGAGGTGAACCTCAAACCTAAAAATATCAAGAAACTAACCTGCAAAAAAAAAAAAAAAAAATTACCATCCCCATGTAACAGTTTGGAAAGTGATTTTCACAATTAAAGGCCAAAGTTTGAAATTTTTTTACATGACCCAGGAACACTGGGTATATCAGCTGGAGGTTTAGAGGTAAAATTCCAAGGACAATATGGTGAACACTAAGAGTGGCATTTATTTCAAAACCATTCTTTCCAGAAGTCACTGACAACAGTTACACTATACACTGTATCATTGCAAGTATTCAGTATGCAAAACAGAAACATGTGCAGTGTATTCAAGCTGTATTTGTCAGCGGCGGATCCAGGGGGAGGGTCCGGGAGGTCTGGACCCCCCTATCAGACCTGACGCTTACAACTTTGAGACTAAAATTCTTACATCCGCAGGATCGTATATCACTTTTTAACTGGCTGATTTTTTAAATTAATGAATCCAAGTAAACGGTAAGCGGCCAAGAAACTATAGCGTGCAACTGCGACTGGTGGGAGGGGGTGTGGGGAGTGTGGGGGAGAAGTAATTTGCCTCAAAAGAGTCCAACAGCCCTTTCTGAACCAAAGTTTGGACCCCCCAAATCAAAAATTCCTGGATCCGCCCCCGCTTGTCATATATTTTAAATTATGAGATAAGTTAAATTACTCTTGACTTTTGATTGGTTATAACCTACAATCTATTGACAAACTCTATCTTTAAAATATATTCCAAATTAATTACTAGTTAAAAGAGATAAGATAATTGCCATGATAAAATATAAGCACTGAAGTTATTATGAAAAAAATTAAGCAATTTCTTGCAATAAAAAATTAGCATCAAACTTATCATAAAAAAAATTAAACAATTTCTTGTGAAAGACTGGTAAGGCATTAGATTCCCAAGTGCTGAGAGGAAATATTCACTCCATGCGCCACAAATCTGAATAAAAAAATAATTCTTAAAAGTCACTGTATAACTAAAATAGGACATCAAGTGTCAAATAATCAATATTTCTGAAAAGTTTGTTCCAAGAGCAAAACAACACACTGTTAAAAATATCAGCTACATTCTCAAAACATTTGAAAAAGAATCCTTAATCATTGATTACCCTTTGATATTGAGGGTGTAATAAATTTAATTTACTAAGGCACTGTTAATCAGTATATTCCTTGCTGAAAATTAATCCTGTAGTCCTGCATTGAATTTTTTCCAAGTTGGTATTGTTTCTTACTTTTTGGCCAAAGGATGCATACATAATGTCACCAATAACAATTAACATTTTGCTTTGTTATCATACAAAACATATAGACTCGATGATGTTTGCAGTTCTGCTCACTAATAGATCACAGAGGGCATCAAGGCTGCCACTTTTTTGCTCTTGAATCTATTTTTTAATCCTCGAACAGACACCACACTCTTCTGATTGGGTGTAGAGCTTATCAGTAACTTTGCTTCTTTCTATAATTAGAGGTGGCATTTCATTAATAAAGGGGTATATCATTTCATATTTTGATAGCGGCTTACCCTCTGCTTGGCCAACTTGAGCTTAAAGCGATCAAAGTCAGTGAGAGTTGCTTGCTTCTTCTTTGTGGCCAGTTTCTTAGCCCAGGCTGTCTTTTCCCATTTTTCAAAGATCTCTCCTTTCTCAGAGGCCTTCTTCACTGGCCCATTCTAATAGCAGAGGGTCCAACTTTGATCTTGAAGTCAGTTAGCAATAGGTGCTTGAAGTTTAGGGCTTTGTGATAGACATTGGTAGTGGGCCCATCAATCAGAGCCTGTTGAGAAAGATTTAAGTCAAAGTCTGTTAACAAAATTTTGTTTTACAAGGCCAAGACAATTTTACTCAACAGTTTATTGATAAGGAAAAACCTCACTTTCTTTCTCAAGTCTTACGGTAATTTAATTAGCAAAAAGTTTACAAAAAGGTGCATTTGGAGTAGATAGCTTTCAGAAATGAAAGCATGTGAACCCCTTCACTCCAAAGATCACATTTTCAATTCTTTTACTGACTTCCATACAATTCTTGAGATATTAGTTTGGAGAATTTGGTATCAGATCAACTAATAATCCCCTTATTTTTTTTTTATTACTCTTCTGCTTTAGATTGTATTGATATTGAAAGGAGAAGTTCTGTCTTAGTCACTCATAGGAGTAAAGGGCTAGCATTATTTAGAGCACTTTAACTCTTTAAGTCTTGTACATGTGTGTTTGTCACTGCAAGTGAGTTTTCTGTTTTTCAACTTAACCCTTTGACTCCCAGAAGTGATTAACATGGAACTTCTCTCTCTAATATCCACACATTATTGAGCAAAAAGGTGACAATACTCAAACTTAGGTAGAAATTGATGTCTTGATCTAACACCAAATTCTCACAACTTATTAATAAGGAATTCTGTAGTGGCCAGAGGAGAGAATTGAAAGTTAGATCTTGGGATTTAAAGGGTTATTAATGTGGATTCAGTTCTCTCCTAACAGGTTATATTCAGGGAATGATCTGTTTGTAAGTTCTCTTATAATATTAATCACTGTCAAGGGCACAGATAAGGAGAAAGAGAGAGAGAAAATGAAATAAAGTAAGGGTTATTATTCTGGTATAACAAGTTCTAAGGTTTAAAAAAAATATCAGAATTTATAAAAAAAAAATTGCCAAATATCACAAA